TATTTATTTATTTATTTATTTATTTATTTATTTATTTATTTATTTATATTTTAAGAGAATGTGAACACATGTTATTAACATCCCGGGCATCACTTCTAAAGAATTCTGGGGTTTTTTGGGGGGGGTAGTTTTCATTTTAGGGTAAGTTAATTCTGAATTGCTAAGAGCATACAAAAAAATAACAGAAGCCCATTTTCATTTTGACATGTAGGACTTTAGTTTTATAACTCCTGTGAACACCAGCAGGAAATGTCCACCTAAGCCCTTTATTGAATGAGAAGGTATGAGTTCTCATTAAGAAACCCGTAAACTAAGAAGCTGGCAACCTTGGAATTTGGCAGTGGCCTGCCAGTCAGGCTTTTGTGCTCTGGGAATTTGTGTTCGGCCATAGCTTTTAATTATTTTTATGAATGAGGGAATAATGAATACATTTGTAATATATTGAAAAAATTCCCCAACACCGACTGACCAAAAAATAGATTTATATGATAATCCTTAAACACCAATTCTATTGCTCAGTGCTAGGCAGAGAGAAAATAGAATACTGAGCTTCATTACTGAGAGAGCAGAATAAATCAAAGCTGATGGAATTAATACTGTTTAATTACTAGCAATACACCTTACCTGGAGAACACATATTCATCACTGATGACAATATTTTAGGCTCTAGTTGTCCTGGGAGGGATATAGAACTTAGCACAAAGCATGATGAGCCTTAAAGAATGAAATTAGGAGAAAATTTGACATAGAGACGCTTTATGGTGTCCTTCATGAGGTGAGAATACACCTTATTAATTGTGGCAGCGGTGAGATGGGGAGATGTAGAAGCACTGGGTTAGGGTCACGGGCAAGAGTGGTCCCTAATGGTGAGAGTTAATGAGTAATGAGTGCTTCTTGTAGAGAGTAAATGTTCTGTTGTCCTCGGTTTTCCCAGAGTCTGTGTCACGTGACAAATGACTGGCTTATGTGACCTTGCCCGAGAGGCTATTGGTAACTAGTATGAGGCAAATGTAGTGTACTTATCAAGAATGCAGGCCCTGGAGACAGTTCACCTGGATTTAAATCCTGGCTCTGACATTTACTAACCAAGCCACTTACTGAACTTCCCTGTACCTCAGTTTTTCTATCTGTAACATGGGCTCCTCATAAGGCTGTTGGGAGACATAAGTAACCTGACAGATGTAACATGTTTAGACAGTTCCCAGAACATGGTAAGGGCACAGTTAGTGTGGGTCATTGTTTTTCACTCTCCAACTTGTTCACATGGATCCTCCAGCAATTTGTCAATTACAGTTTAGGTTTTTCTTCCTCTGGTTCTACCTCCATGTCCTGCAGATGTTTCTGCTCTGGTCAGTTGGGATTCACTGTCACTCCGATTTTCCCCTCTCTCCAGTTGTTGTGGCAGTGGTTTTCCTTGTGACCTCAATTCTCTGCCTGATCTAAGACGAATGGCTAATTTTCAGCTCGTTTGACTTTTTTCTTGTTGAGAGGGGAGCAATAACTTCCAAGCTCCTTACATATTGCGCCAGAAACAGGAAATTGCCATTGTTTTTGTAATCATTAGAATTGAAGGTTTCCAGCAGCCCAAGCAGAACATATATATTAAA